TGCCAGATCCTGCTGAGTGAGCTCACACCCTCGTTCACTTTCATCTTGACCAGGGTTTTGATAAAATTATTAAGCAGGTGATATATTTAGTGATAGAAACTACCTTTACTATGACCCCAAGAAACCTGACTTGTAACTCGGATGAGGAAGAACGTGGAGGGAAGGAGGTCCCGGTGGAGGAGCTGCAGAGCCGAGAGGAGAGGCCGCGCTGCAGAGGTGAGCGGGTCAGATCCCTCCCGCGCCTGGGAGGCGGCCTCCCAGCAACCAGCACCGGGAAGGGTCCTTGCTCACTCAGAGGCAGAAGATTGTGTCCCGTGGGAGCCAGTGACTAGGCAGAGCCTGAGGCCCGTGGGGCGCCAGGGGAGCACTGCCCCTGACGAGGGCAGAGATGTGGGAGCACTCGGGAGGCAGCACCTGCCTGGAGACATGAGCACTTCTGAACAGGCCCGGTGGTGACCCTCCACGAGTTTGGGAGCTTGATTCGAGCCTGTTTTACATTGGCTGGAGCCACACCCATTTGTGTGTGTGTGTATATGTGTGTGCGTGTATGTGTGTGTGTGTGTTAGAGACAAAGAGGGGTGGGAGAGAAAGGGAGAAAGATTGAGATTGTAAGAGGGTTGGGGGACTGGCCAGGGAGGCAGCTGTCATAGTCTCCTACATGGGCTATTAAACAGAAAGTGGCCAGATTATTTGCGGGAAAATGTCAGTATTGCTTATTCAGGCAAATAGCAGCTGATCTGTAAACCTCCTACTTTAGGAAAATCTTTAAAAAGTGGTCACAATGTGTTGTATCTGGGATTTTCTTCAGCCGACTGGGGGCCCAGCTCAATGCCCTCCATTCAGCAGTTGCTACTAAAGCAACCACTTGTTGCTTGACCCCGCTGGGCACCCTGGGGCGTGAAGGAAGTGCTGGATATGATCCCTGCTCTAGGGAGCTCATCAGCTTGTTGAAAAGACAGGGCTTACACAAACAAAACAAATTTAGGAAAAAGCAAACACCATTTTCAGGAAAGAGCGGGGGTTTCCTGGCCTGAGTTGTACTGGCGTTGGCAGCCGAGGTCCCAGCTCCCGGGCCGAGGTCCCAACTCCCGGGGAAAGCTGTGCCCCGGGGTCACCCTGGAGGAGAAGCCCCAGAGGAATACTCCGTGCTGCACTTCACAGTGCAGTTGTTGTCTGAGCCCCTCTGTGGGTGCATCCCTGTCACAGCGTTGGGGTGTCCAGTCTTGTGTGGGTGCTTGGAGACCTCCGTCAGGGGCTCGTGCTGGGAGGACTGACCCCAACTGGCTGCTGGCCCCACGAGAAGTCAAGCAACTCCCTAGGCTGGTCCCAGTCTGCACAGTGGGACAGTGCTACCGCCCTGTCACCCTTTTGACCTCAGATGGTTGTGTCACAGGAGAGGTGGAGTGTGGGAGCCCTGCCCCGTGCAGTGCAGTGGTGGTTTATTGTCGCCACAAACTCTGTTCAGGCAGAAAAGAAATTGGAGTCAATGCCTTTCATGTTATCAGCACTTCACGTCTGTTCCCTGTTTTCCCAATGTTCTCTCCTCCTTGGCTCTCACCTGATCTCTCCAGCGCTCTCCCACCCCGTCCCTCAGGTCTGGCTATTCCCCTGAGGTCTTCCCTCACCTCCACTCTGATCCCATGGCTTCCGAGGTGCCTTTCTCCCAGGTCCAGATCCCCCCTCTCTGTGAACATCCTGCAGGCTCCCAGCTCAGCCGTGGCTTCCTCCGGGCCAGCCCTGACCCCTCTCCTTGCACCTCTGCTGCTGCCACTTCCCTTTCTCCGATGCTGCCCGAACCCACCCTCTCGGTTTTCATTCCCACCCCTGTTTTCCTAGCCCACACCCTTGTCTGCTCTCACCACAGCCAGAATCTCAGTATGTTTAGCATCACGTATGTGTTTATTTGGCATTAGAACTCTACCATTTCTATGCTCCAAAGAAATCTTCGTATCTCCAACCATAAGAGCAGCTGTTCTGGTTGTGGTGGTCTGTGGACTCCTCTCTCTGCCAGTGGGGGACCCTGTCCGTCTTCCGCTCCACTTCTCCCCAGTGGACCCCAGGCCCCGACACTCTGTCCTCAAAGAGGGTGGCATGGAAACCACACCTACCCTCTTGGGGCAGCCTCAGAGCTGTCTTCTTCCTCATGCAGAGCTATTTCTCTAAACCCCAGGTCTGACGAGGCCTGAAATCCCCTCATTAGTGTGTCGTGGTTCAATGGAATGAAGCCTGAACTCCATCCAGCACTGTCCTCGGTCTGGCCCCATCCCCTTCTCCTCATGGCCCCGCGCGTCCCTCCCTCTGTGTACCGTGTGGTATGGCTCTGCATGGACACTTGGAATTCCCAGCTCTGGGATAACTAAGCCTCTGTACGCTGCGACTGTGCTGTTCCCTCTGCCAGGAATACCTTTCCCCTTGCTTCTCTTCCTGGGCAAAAGCTATGTATTCCTAAGGTCTGGGTTAGATGTTGTCGCAGCCACGAAACCTTCCCTGCACTTCCTTTTCATATGAACATAAAATTTGTCCCTCCTTCTCTACTCCTACACATTCTGTTTATACTTTTTGAAAACAATTCACTTATCTCATTTGCATTATAGTCACAACAAGCAGGGACAATGTCCTATTTATTTTCAAGTCACCAAAGCACCCAGCCCAGCACCCAGTCTGCAGCAGGCACCCATTTCCATGTTTGTTAAGTAGACAAATAACTGAATGAAGGAATGAATAAATTTGACATGCTCCCTAAAGCCCCACTGGGCAGGACACAGAGGCATCAGGTGTGTCACCTGTCATTGGCTTATCATCCTTAAGAAGAGACTGTGGGAGGGTTCCTGCTATTGAACCCCAATTTGGACATTAAGACTTTGCTTCCTGTGGTGAGATTTCTTAGTACCAACTACTGAGTAGCTCATGTTTCTTTAAATCTTCAGATTGACCTTAAGCCCACCTGTCAGTCACTCCTGTCCTTCCTTCCCAGATGCCATCTGTTTATCGGGGCATCTTCCACCTGTCCTCATATGCCATTTCCTCCTGTCACACTGGCAGGTGTGTTTGCACTCCTTGGTCATGGGGCATTCTAGCTGCTCAAAGAATGGCATCATTCACCTTCCAGGTGGGAAGCCATGGAGTATCCACTTGCTGCGTATTTTTGAATGGTGTGCTTTTCTTCAGGTCCACACCTTCATTCGAGTTCTGATACTTCTCCTGTCCATCTGAGATACCTCAGCTGCATGTTAGTGAATCCCCAGATCCACTTGACCCCTCTCAAGCATTCACCGCACTTCAGCTGGAAAGATCTTTAAAGTTATACTACTGTTCATGTGACATCACAGTCCTTCTTAAACCCCGCCCACATCCTACCTTGCTGTTAGGAATAAAGACACGTTTCTTTTTTTTTTCAAAAAATTTTATTTAGTTATTTTTCAAGTACATTTTTTGTCTATTTCTCCCATCCCAGCCCCACCCCGCCCCGTGCTCCCCACCTCCCTCCCATTTCCACCCCCCTTAGTTCTCGTCCCTGTGTCCTTCCTATTTGTTCCTCCAAATCCCTCCCCCTTTTTTCCCCTTAACTTCCCTTCCCTCTCCCCTCTGGTCACTGTCCCCTTGTTCTCTATTTCAGTGTCTTTTTTTTTTTTCTGCTTGCTTGTCTGTTTTGTTGTTCAGCTTCCTGTTAAAGGTGAGATCATATGGTATTTGTCTTTCAAGCACCTGGCCTATTTCACTCAGCATAATGCTTTCCAGTTTCATCCATGCTGTTGCAAAGGGTAGTAGCTCCTTCTTTCTCTCTGCTGCATAGAATTCCATTGTGTAAATGTACCACAATTTTTTGACCCATTCATTTACTGATGGGCACCTAGGTTGCTTCCAACTGTTTCTAAAGAACGTTAGGACACATGGCCCACAAAGCCCTGTGGATCTGGTTCCCGCCATCTTCCAAGCTTCTCTTCACTCTCTGGCCAGTGTCCCTTGTCTTCAGAAGCACCCTGCTCCCTCTCACCCCAGGGCCTTTGAACATGTTCTTTCCGTTGCCTGGAACCCTGTTCTTATTTTTCAGTGTAAAGCTCAAGCACCCCATTTTCACAACGCCGACCTCCCGTTAACTTTCAAGGATCCCTAACTCCCCCTTTATAGCACTTAGCACAGTTTTTAATGATCTGGTCATGTGGTCATTTATTAATGCATTTTCCTACCTAGACTCTAGTGAGGCCCAAGGACAAGCGCCATATCTGTGTCACTCACAGTTTTATGGAACTCCGTCATTACCGTGGAGTCGGTGCTTCGTACATGTTATCAGGGGAAGGGGGGTTGCCCCAGTGTGACCCTGCCTGTCTGGCCCCACAGAAATTAACTGGGACTCTGTTCAAGTGTGTCCTGGGTATGACTTCTGCCACTCATCCCCCAAGCCCAAGGGGGAAACTGCCTTATAAAAGGTAAATCGTAAAACTGGTGTGCAAAGTGGGGCTGCCGAGGTTCTCACTCAACATCCCGCATTGTTTACTGAGACTATTCAGGGATGCAGGTTTATTACTTAGTTTTCTTGTAAGGGAATTGATAGATACTATATACTATTGTATTTTAGATTTACAATGCTTCCTGAATTCAGAGCCAGTAAAAAAATTTTGTCTCTTTATATTGTTTTCTTCTTGTAATCATGCAAGATCTAGTCCCTACTGAATTTCCCCCACCACCACTTTTTGTTTTGTTTTAGCTGCAGGGTACTCAGTGCTACATTTCATGTTTAACATAAAGTAAAATTGCCTCTGCCCAGGTGTCTGATTACCTCTCTTCTCTGTTGTTTTTAAAGTGACTTTTTTTTGTTCTATTGTGTTATGCTTAGTTATTAGAGACAATGCAGACCCTTTTTATAAGAAATATATATTAATATATTGCATTATATGCTATATAATATACACCGTTTATTTTATTTATATTACATGGTCTACATAGGTTGTATATATAACGTATATTACAAAACCCTCATACACCTTTTCTTTATACCATAGTGACACCAATCCATACTCTTCATTTGGAGCAACTCTGGAGAGAGAGGATGAAAAGAACCTGTGGAGCATGCCTCACGACGTGTCCCACACAGAGGCGGACGATGACAGAATCCTGTACAACTTGATAGTCGTCCGTAATCAGCAGGCCAGAGATTCAGAGGTAAGCGCCCTTGCAGATGGTGCTGTGTGCTCATTCATGGCAATGTCCGGTAAGAGCAGGGAGGACTGAGAAGAATGAAGGGTGAGATGTTTGACCCGAAGGTATTTTAACCACATGTAGTTGGTGATTATAGTTGGTCTTGGTAGACCTGCCTGATAAACAGGTAGGACCTATTTCTAAGTTATTACCTTACTGATACAAATTACAATAGTCCAGAAACAGCAGGGCAGGAAGACTGTGAAGGTAGTCTGCCATCCTAAGTGCCTTAACCAGTCCATCTCTCATCTCTCCAGGTGTAGGAAGCCATGGTTAGAAGATGCAGATTGAACTTTGAAGGGTGCATTGCATGATCACCGGTTCTGAATTAGTGGGGCCTGAGGTAGTTTTATTTTTTCCCTATGTATAGCTCCTTAAATTGATCAAACAGCAGTATATCTGCCATATTTGAGATGACCTTTGTTATAAGGCTTGATGGACTCTTAACCCAAAGTTAGTGGTATGGGAACAGTAGAATAATGAAAAGGGGAGGACCTAAGAGAAAGCAGCACTGGAGACCATGTTTTATTTTCTCTTTTATTTCAAAACTAGTGCTGTATGGTATTCTATGTGTAATACAGTATAACGTAGTATTGAGTATCATTTTCCTCGGTTTTCTAACTTCTCTACATCCGTCAGCCCTGAGTAGATAGATACCTGTGAGAAACGTAGACACCTCTGTAGATTGCATGCGTCTTTGTACCTCATAGTAATTGAAAGGAATGGGTGTTTCATTTCAACATCAGACTCTGGCTCTCAAGAAAAGCTCTGCATTTGTGGCAAGGGTGGGGGTCATGGGCGTTGTCTGTGTGTTCCTTCTGTAGGTTTCTTTATTTTTGCTAATTAATTGCTAGCTGTTTTTCAATCCCCAAACCATGCTTTAGCAGGAGGTGATAACTTAAAAGTGCTATATATATCCTGGTTCTTTTATTCTGGGGTGGCTTGGATGCCCCTGTGGGGGGTTAGAGGTGGGTATGGAGGTGGGATCAAGGGGTGGGGGAAGGGCTGACAGTTGCCTCTGGTTCTTGAGGCCTGGGGCAAGGCTGGGCAGGAGAGTCTCACCATGGCTGTTGATGAGTGTCCATTCTTGAGTGTGGCATGCTGATGGGGACAGCTTCTGCTAGGTAGCCATCACAGGGTGTAACTCAGGGGCATGGCATCCTGCTAGTCCTGCTCTGCACTATCCCTGGCTTCCCATGTCTCCAGCACAGTCCTCTTCTTGAAGGGTAGTAATACCTGCAGCTCATCACATGTCTGCTGCAGCCAGGAAAGGTGTCCTAGCTGCCCTCCCTGAGCACGTGGACCAGAAGGCAAGACCGTGTTTCCCTTTCATTGGTGGGAAGAGGAGCCAGTCCTTTACTGTGTTGGGCCGACCAGATAGGGTTTCTGGTGAGAACAGAACTAACTAGTCTTTTTCCTTCCTCTTCTCCCCGTACTCTGCCCAAAGCCATAACAGCAATAGGGCCATGATGTATGATGTCCTTCTGCACATGTGAAAGGGGCTGGATCGGGTGTTTAGAGCTGAGCCTGGCAGCTGTCTCAGGAGGAGCTCCTGCTTCTCTGGCCTGTTTGTGTTCACTTTTGAAAAGATGGTAGCGGAGGCAACACAAGCTACAAAGCATTCTGAATAGATACAGCTCCAAGTGGCTGTCACTTCCTGGCTATTCTTGGACCTGTGTGAAGGGGCGTCCAGGAGGGTTTTTCTTCTTCTTGCCTAAGACATGAAGCCAAGCTCACCTCTAGAGGAACTCTGTGACCGAGACAGACAATCAGATAATAGGAAGATGTGAGGATAATTATACAAGAATGGCTTTGAAATATCTTCGTTCACGGTGCTTCCTTTTTTAAGGGTAAAATACATATTTTTATATACACACACACACAAGGTATACATATATAATATGTAATTAATGCATTACAATACTTTATATATGGTTTAAATTTTTTCTTACATTTTCTTCTCCATATTTGAAATGCATATAAAGGCATGTATTAATAGTTTCATTCATTTTGCCCACAGATTGCACATTACAGACACTTCTGAACCGTGCTTTTTTTTCCACTCAATAATACATTTTGGACATTTTTTTTCATTTCAGTATGCTTGCATTTATCTTACTGCTTTTGAGGGCCAATCTCCTGGGTGGATTGGCCATCATTTAATCAACTAGTTTCAAGTAATGGCTGGTCGTTTCAGATTTTTTGCTTTTAGAAACAATGCCACAGTGAACATCCATGTGTATTTATATGACCTTCCGTCATTTTTTCTGGACCAGAGAGCATGTGCATTTAAAATGGAATGGTCGCAGTGGCTTCCTTCTTGGAGGAACCTATGAAAAGCACTTGAGGGAGCAGAACTGAATAGCATTGGAAGTCCATTCTGAGCGTAAGGGGAGCAGCTACTGAGCTCCAGACACCCATTTGCCATGCGGAGAATGTGGATCCGGATTGTAGGAGAAGCTGAAAACCCAGATTTACATATAAAATGTCCAGATTTTTAAATGATAAGTCATTAAAAATATGTCAACTGAACAAAATATATTTATGGGCTACTGATCTATAAAGAACATTTATAACAAGGATCTTACCACTGATTATTATTATTGCTATTATGTCCAGCGTGATTGAAACGTGAGCTCACTGCTAATTTAGATGAGAAGGTAGAAGTAAGAAGCTGGTGGGGGAGTGTTTTCAATTTGAAAAAGTTACATATCTATTGATATTGCTGATTTCTTTTTTATGAAGAATGAAATTGGCACAGATTTTAATAAAACAGGATTTTAGTTTTATAAAAAGGATTTTATTTATTTATTTTTTGAGACAGGGGAAGGGAGGGAGAAAGAGAGGGAGGAAAATATCCATTGGTTGCCTTTTGCATGTGCTCCAACTGGAGTTTGGCCTGCAACTCAGGAATGTGTCCTGACCAGGAATTGAACCGTCAACCCTTTACTCTGTGGGATGACGCTCAACCAATTGAGCCATACCTGTCATGGCAGGATTTTAGTTTTGAAAGAAAACAAATTCTACTTAAAAACAAGAAACCCTAGATATTTTGCATGATACAGCTTAGAAGCTCAAGAAAGGTCTTAAAACAGGACACTGTATTTTTCCTTGAAAAGCAATAGTAACATAGAAGACCTAGAAACATCCATATTTGGAAATCTCAAAAAATGAAAAATAATTTCAAAATAGTGTTTGTACTACTTATATTCCCCAGTTGAATCTGCAGCTGGTGGAGGAAGGGCAACAAATAGTTAAGGTTAAATTTGTTTTCCCAAATTGAAAAAAAGAAATCAGAGAAAACACATAGCAGAGTGAATAATGAAGCAAAGGCTGAACTTAAAGTAACTTGCAGTGTCAGAAGATTTTAAAAGAAACATTATTTAAGTCTAAGAGAATCCACTTTTCATTTATACAAGCCTTAGAAAGCTAATGGAAAACTGACTTTCAGCAGAAGAAATGATACATTTGCAAATCTCCAAGTAGTGTAAAAATCACTGCTCTCCTCTTTGAATGATGTTGTAAAATACTTTAATTTGACTAAGCAATAGTAAACAACCTCAGTCATGGCACTAAATCATCAATCCTGTGCTTATTCTCATTAAGCTAGTTGTACTTCACCTAACACAGCCCATTCTAGGGAGTTTAATTATGGTTAGTGAAGTATCAACACACCTCATTTATTTGTATAAATAATTTAATTATATGGAAATATATCGTCCTCCAAGATACCAATAATAATAAAACAGTGCCAGGCACTGTTCATCCACTTTACATATATTAACTAGGTCCTCCTCACAATTCAGTGAGGTAGGTACCATTATTTCTACTTAAAGCAACTTGTCCAAGGCCACACAGCTGAGAGTGTGGAATTAGGATTCGAAACTAGGCTCTGTGAATTCAGAAACATAATATATAACGCGCACCATGAATGAAACTGTAAGAGAGGAACATATATAATTTGAGATTCACTACCTATTTCACAGTGCATGAGCAAAGTCTGTCCAATGGCTGTTTCTGTCACCTGTCGATGCCAATGATATGAAAGGCATTCTCCCCCCACGGCAATGAGAGCTGTGCTTCGTTGGAGGATGCTAGACTTGTTTCAGGAAATGCTATGGTTGTAATATAGTATCTTTTCTAAGTCAGGCTTTTTCATCAGTGGGTCAGCCTGTTAAGACAGTTTTCTAGCTTCTGCTTCATGAGCTCTGGGATGTTTCATGTTCCTCCCTTCCATTTCTTCTTCACTTGGTTCAGTGTGTGGTCTCTGACCTACGCTACTTGGTGTCTCTTCTGATGGGTCAGTAATAGCTTCCTTAGTGCTTTGTACATGGTGTCGGCATTTTTACTCTGCTATAAAAAGACTTCTACATTTCTGATTAAGAAAATAAATGCTAAGAATGAAGTCGTTCCCATAAATACAAATGAAGCACAGTTTGGTTCAAAGTAAGTGATGTTTAATTGGTGTCATTGGTGATGGACATTCCATGTTTGTTTTAAAAGCTGTGCCGAAAGCTGTGCCGTTGTTACGCGCTCACAAGTGCATGGAGTTGTTGTGATGAGTGTCTGGTCCCTGTCACTGTGTCCCAGTCCCTAGGCAAGGCAGGGTCCCCGGGGACACAGGTGCTTGTGTGGCTGGAGTGAGCCTGCGGCAGCTACGCTCTGCTGAACCCTGGGGAACAGGCAAATCCATAGACCGTTCCTGGTTTACAATGAACAATTTGTATTTCCTGTGCGTGCGGACTCCCCGCTGGCGGAGCGCTGCCAGGCATTGCAAACAGTCCCTATAAAGTGTTTCAAATAGCGACAGACCCTCCCAGGGGTTGTTTGCAGTGTCTGGATTATACTCAGCCTATCATATCCCGAGTACTGAAAGAAGGGACCAAACAGAGTGGACTGGGGTGTTTGGTGGGAGGCTGTGAGGGAGTAGAATTGATTGTGTACCAGCCACAGAACTGCAGCAC